CATATGTGAACACACCACCATGAAACCCACATCATGTCCAACCACAAGAATGGGACCCTAATTTAAGTTATACTCCATGTATGTATAACAGATCAAAGTACATTCTACTGTCATGTATATGCAAAAAGAGCAAAAACAATAAAAAAGAAAACAGTTGTGGCTAACAAGCCAGACTTCTTACCTACAGCCAGCAAATATATAATCTAGAAAGGAGTCGATCCTTACTACCATAAGAAAAAGTGAAAATACGGAGATTATCATCAACTCATTTGATACAATCCTTTGAGTCCCTTGAATCAAGAACATGTGTCCTCCACTAGTATTAATTTCACTGTAGTATTTATCAGCTATAATTCCCATTAAACGAGTCTTCATTTTTCTTGCACATAGGATAATATTCTCTAAATTTGTACGCTACACAGAATCATTCATTCAATTAGAGGGTAACATGTGGCTCTCTAGTTTCTATTAAGTTCAAAGAGTTTTACATCTTTTCCCCATATTACTTTATATTACAATCTCTTCTTCACCATTTTCATATTACTAACACTCTCATTATATAAAATCCTTGCCCTGGATGCTTTATTTACCCGTCCCTCTGTCTCACTCTCGCACATCTCTGTTTGCACCTGTGTTCATTTTCATTGCATGGTCTCTCCCTCCAGAGAGTCACAACTTGATTTCACAGAAAATAACCTGTCTGCACTAGGCTCTGTCTGCCTAATATAAAAGCTGAGTACCTGTTTGTTTGGCCTCCTAAACGCTAAACTTTACTTCTAAAGTCATCTTTGAAGGTGAGGGTGGTGTCAAACCTCTCCAAAATTTCCAGATTATCCAGAATCATGTTCTGCATATAGAACATTCAATAGATAACGACACACCCAACCCTCATTCTTTTGCCATCTTTGTCTTCATAAATACCTACTATGGCCTCAGTTGAGTCCAACAAGGAAAACAGGACAAAACTAAGACTTCTGATTACCTCAGGTAGCATCAGTTCTCTGGGGCAAGGAATCTTGTTAGGCAGAATGATGCCCATTTAAATACCAAAGCATGTGAAGAAATACTAATCAGCAGTAATCTGGGTCGTAATCTCTGAGATGCTTCTCATTGTTTCACTCAGCTCTTTTTCAATTTTCTCTTTCCCTGATGTCAACTCCACCTCTTCTCACTACAGATATAATCAGGGTGGGTATCATCACCACTTTCATCACTTATTTTTGGCTTTTGAATAATCATTTCTAAGACTCCCTATACTCTTAAAAATCAAGTTTTAAGAAAAATAATTTTTTTTTTCCAAAAATTAAGCTTTCTGAATTGCCATACAATACCACAATCTAATGGACAGTTGGCCATCATGATCATGCATAATACAATTTTTAAAAAATTTTCTTAATTGTAGATAAACACAATATCTTTGTTTTATTTATTTATTTATTTTCTATGGGGTGCTGAGAATCGAACCCAGTGCCTCACACATGCCAGGCAAGTGCTCCACCACTGAGCCACAGCCCCAGCTGCAATACAAATTTATAATAGGAAAAAATTGCATTGTGTAGTATAAAAATTGTGGTTCCTGTATTTTTTCAGAAAACTCATCATTTATTTATCCATAAACTCCTTGAAATGATCGTCTCTGCTTTAAATATCCTACTCTTTTCAAAAATTATTATAAAATAATTTCAGTCCTCCCCACTCAATCAGTATTTCGATGTCCCCAGTGGACTCTGTCTCTGGAGCATTGGACATTGTGAGTATTCTTATTTTTGCCGCTTATCATTTCTTTTCCCATGTTTCCCTAAAATGTCACATTTTTCTTCTGATTTTTTCCTCAGGTGAGTATCTCAACTTTCTTTCTCAGACAATTTCAGTTTTACATCTACCTATATGTTTTGTCTACAGTTTGAGAGTCCCCCAGAGCTTCCTGTGTTAAAAATCAACCCGTGTTGTGAGGTACCAAGAGGGTGGAAACTTAGTCAGCTGTGATGTTTACGGGCAGGGCATTTGGAAAGTGATAGCATTAAAGTCGTCAGGGTAGAGCCGTGAGTAGATCCTCGTGGCTCTGTGAGAGATGGAGAGAAACCACACAAAACCATGCGTGTTCTCCGTCTTTTACTATGTGATGCCCTGCATTGCCTTGGACTCCGCCAGCAAAGAGGATATCACCAGATGTGGCCCCTAAACCTTGTATCTCCAGAATCGTGAGCCAAAGGAAAACTCTGTTCCCTACAGGGTAGATATTTTGTTATAGTAACAGAAAATACCGGCCTCAGGTTTTTTGTTATTGTAACAGAAGGCAGACTGATACATCTCCTTTACCTGCCTGTTAAAAGTTCTAGCTCCCATTTTGTCTCTTTTTCTTAGCATGCACGCTCTCCTTTAGTGACCTCAACCTCTGTACCTCTTCAATTCATTGTTTAATTATCAAGAAGGCAATTCAATTAGGTGATGCCCTGCTATAGATATATACCTATTAGACTCTGGCAGATGTCTCTCAGAAAATTGTTCTGTTCTCACTCTCTCTCTCTCTTTTTAATATTTTTAGTTGTGGATGGACACAATACCTTTATTTTATTTATTTATTTTTATGTGGTGCTGAGGATCGAACCCCGTCCTCAGCAAGCACTCTACCACTGAGCCACAACCTCAGCTCCTTATCCTGTTCTCTTAAAAAACACCCTGAATGTCTCAAGCCAGCCGTGGGCTGTGTGTGTGATCTATGTGCATTTGAGCCCATGAGGGGCCTGGCCTGACATTGCTGCCTGATTTGGCCTTGTGACATATGGGGCCTTTTCTCTTGCTCTGCCTGTGATCCCACAAGCACCTGAGATGCATGTGGCTTTCCAAGATGTCAGTCAATCTGCTGACCACAGGACATCACTAACCACCCTTCCAAGCCCAATCCCTTGCCTTATTTGGGTGGAACTTTCTCGAATGTCTTTTCCCCAATAAACAGAAGATTTCGGGTGTGCTCGCCCGCCCTCTTGCTTCTTCCAGTGCTGTGATGACCCTTGGGTCATCGAGCCGTCCTGCCTTAGCAACTTAAGTTCGGTACTGTGGGGTTTCTTCACCGTTTTCCTAGTTATTGATACACGCAGCTCCTTTGAACCCAGGTCATATCACCAGTCCGGCCAGATGGCGATACCTGAATACATTACGAGTTCATTGTATTTAGGAATATTTCCTTATTCACAGCAATGTGACCCTGTTTGCTAGGTGCTGAATTAATGTCAACTTTAAAACCCCTCTTCTCTGTGAATAGCTACCTAAAGATGTATAATAGTTCAATGCCGAAGCTGTTCTAATTCCCAGGCCTCTTCTCTCCTGAAGCAAAACCTTATTAGAACTTCTAATTTCAAAATAATATTTGTCCTAACTCTTCCACATCTCGAGTTCCCCCTCCCTGTGATGGGGGCACCACCCCCCCCTCTTGTGCCCACTGCTCTCCAGGGGTCATCCCGCTTTCCAAGGCCTTAGCTTCCACATCCCATAGATCCCTCTGGGTCTGCACTCGGCCCACCTACTCTCACGCCCGTCGGATCCCATACGCCCGTCGGATCCCATTCCCATAGATGATTTATCCTCTAGGAGTTAACATCCAGTGTTAGTGGAAATACCACTCCAGCTCCTTGGGAATCTCTCTTGCCACAAGGGATTCAGAGGCCCCAAAGTCCTCCATACCACAGGCCGAGTCTTTGCCTCCGTGATTTATAAATATCTGCCTGCTTCTTTCCTGATGTTTAATCTTCATAAGATGACTATGCCCGATACTACACCAAGCACTTGGAATGCAGAGGCAATTAAAACATATGCTATTTTCAAGTGGTTCATAACTTGGACAGATCATCAAACACCCAAGGGAAGAGCTACAGGGAACTGAACAAAAGATCAAGATCAGCTGGCACATAAACGTGCAGATCATTACTTCCATATTCATGCTTGAAGACTATGAGTTCCTCAGAGCAGCAGGTCATCTTTGTGTCACTGATATCTTGCAAAATCATGGGCCCCAGCTAGACATTGCATATCTATGGAATTCAGCAGTGAGTGAGTGGATAAGGTGGAATGGCTGGCTTGCAGCCGGCCTCGGGAGCAGATATCTGGGCAATCTCTGGCTTCTGGAATTCCTCCTGGCACCTGCCCAGGGAGATCCTGGTGCCTCGGGGCTGGGAGTGTAAGAGAGTCACCCTCATCCTGGGCTGTGAAAGTGACTGATCTTCATACGCAGGCTGTGTCTCACTCCCAGAAAGACGGCAGGCCCAAGATAAAAGGGCTCCAGCGCCGGGCTCCTCAGTCCTCGGCCTTGCCTGTGACAGCTCCGGTGTCCTCCGCTGACTCGGTGAGTCCTTGGACAGGGAGGAAGGCAGATGGGACTGCAGGGAGGGAGGGCAGAGGAAGGTAGGGGCAGAGGAAGGCGTCCCTGGGGTAGAGGCAGCCCATGTGAGGGACTGTGCTTGACCAGGGCCCAGGCTGGTGACCTCCTCTCCCGACTTCTCGTGGTCTGGTAAGGAGCCGGGGAGAAGCAGGCTGTGAGGGTCCCAGCTTAGGGTGGGAGAGCGAGCAGAACTGCTCTGTGGATAGTGGGGTCAGGAGGAGACCACAGGAGCCCTGGGGTTACCTGCTGACCTCTGAGTCTTCGGTGCTTCCCCTATAACCCTCTTCCAGTGAGTTCTCCCAGAGGACCCACCCGACAGGCACAGGGTGGTCCATCCAGCAAAGGAGGCTCTGAGCCCAAGGCTGGCTGTTTGCAGAGCTGGGAGCCTACCAGGGGCCTGACCGGAGCCCATGCAGAAGGTGGTCAGGGGAGAAAGAGCGAGAGAGGGAGGGAGAGTCTTCATCATACTTCACATCAGCCTCCAAATTTCGGCTACAGACCTTGTTCACAAATAAGCTGCTGTGGAGCGAGGATCTGGAGACCAGAGTTCAGGACATAGTTCTGCTTGCCACTGTGCTGATGGCTTCTCAACCGTCTCTCTAGGTTCACTGCCTTCCTCTCAAAGATGTCCTGCCAGCAGAGCCAGCAGCAGTGCCAGCCCCCTCCCAAGTGCCCTCAAAAGTGCCAGGCCCCCAAGTGCCCCCCAAAGTGTCCCCCTAAGAGCCCTCAAGTCTCTTCCTGCTGCAGCTCCAGCTCCGGGGGCTGCTGCAGCTCTGGGGGTGGGGGCTGCTGCCTGAGCCACCACCGGCCCCGCAGGTCTCTCCGTCGCCGACACCAGAGCTCTGGCTGCTGCAGCAGTGGAGGTGGCGGTGGCTGCTGTGGCAGCAGTGGAGGTGGCGGTGGCTGCTGTGGCAGCAGTGGAGGCGGCGGTGGCTGCTGCAGCAGTGGTGGCAGCAGCGGGGGCAGCGGTGGCTGCTGTGGCAGCAGCAGTGGAGGTGGCCAGCAGTCTGGGGGCTGCTGCTAACCTGGGCCCTGAGGACCTCGAGCAACCCGTGTGCAGAAGACCTGTCCCGCCTCCAGTCCTCCCTCCCTCTCCCGTCCCCCACGTCCTGGGCTCTGAGATGCTGAAACCTTCCTGCAGAAGATTCTCGATGACCCTGCAGATGGCCGGAGCCCCTCCCCAGCACTCCTTCTGTGTCACAGAATAATAAAGTCTTCCTACTGCACCTCAGCGTCCCTCGCTTATTGTCACCAGCGTCACCCCCACAGGTTCCTGTAGCCCCCAGGGCTCAGCCTGGCCGGGCTGGGACGGAAGCCTGGCCTGGGAGTGTGGGTCGGGTGGCCAGGCCCCCTGCACGGGGTACGCAGAGTCCAGCCTGTGGTTTCCCTTTCCTGCCGAGACACCAGTCTAGTGCCCGTTGAGGATTTTGTCGTCTTCTGGGTGATGTGAATTTCCTCTGATTTTAGGCTTTTCTTAATAATAACAACAATAATATTTCTAACAGCCAATATGAGCGGAAACTTAGACACTGCTAGCACTCCTCACAACAGTCATATATGGGGACAAACCCACTGCCCATTAAGTGGAAGGCCGACGGTTCATTATTAGATATGTACTCAGCAGACTGATTCAACATTTAAAATGAATCAGCTGAGTCAACACGAAACAATATGAGTAGACAAAATAAGTAATTTCTGAGAGATCATGTAAAGCATGACGGCCTATTCATACATTTAAACCAGGAAAAAATGATCCTTTTTATGTTGTTACATATATGACTACTATATGAAAAGAAAAAGAAAATGTGGGTGAAAATTTGCTTCCGAATAATAAGTCCTTTGGGTGGGAAGGAGCAGAGATGGAAAGTGGGCTGGGCATGGGGGTTATTCTCAAGACCCCGGCTTTTGTTTAGTGGGTTCCCATTCTTTTCAAATGAATGAAGGAGAAGATGGGAGGATTAACTATCTGAAAAATTAAGGGGACCGTGCATGAACCAGTGACGGCTCTGTCACGGTCCAAGAATGCTGATTTCTCCAATTCTATACATCCACAGTCCGACTTTTGCAGAAAGTGTTCTATGCATTCCCTCATATAATGTTCTCAACTAGTTCTTACAGCTTTTAAAATATATTATTTTGATCCCCCAATAATTTTATATGTAAGGAAATTGAGATTCAGAAATTAAATAATTTGCCCAGGTTCACACAGGAAGAGCAAGACCCTGGGCCTGTCAGAATCTGCCCTTTACTGTCGGCTCCTTCGGCTCTCAATCTCCTCCTCTCTCCTGAGCATTCTCTCCTGTTCCTTGGTATCGGTGAACACCACTATGCGGATGGCTAAGGAGCCCCTTCTAGGAGAGATCTCAGTGCCCTAGAGTCTAAAATACACCTGTGTCCCTCCTCATCACTTCATTCTGTTTTATTTATTTTAATTTCCTTACCACAGATAAATGCTTTCTTATCTACTTTTTTCTTCCGTCCATCTCTCTCAACTCTAAGGTAATTTCATGGGAGTAGGGGCGTTGCTGTCCGGCCTCCTGCAGTCTTTCTAGCCCCCACAGCAGGCTTATCTGGGATTGCAAAAGCTATTTTCAACTAAATGGCTTCCACGACAACGATGAAGTCTGAAATTGTTCCCTGAACTCCTGCTTGATACCCCTGGCTGCCAGTTAGATTTCACCAGTCAAGAATTTCATTCTAATTTCAAACTCTAACTTTACAAAATGAAACTCAACTCCTGGTATCCATTCAATAAGCCTTCCCTGCGTTCACTTACAGCTTAGTGAATAATGCCATTATTATCTGTCTAGTCCAGAAACCAGACACATTCTGAACTCTTTTGTCTCTTATAACCCACCCCTCACATAAACCACCAAACACTAAAGAAGAGTCTCCTGGCTGTGGCCTTACACTATCCCAATCTGTCTCGACACTGCAGCCCATAATCTTTCCAAGCATCCGTTTGAACCCATTAGTCCCAGGCTTTATATCTCTCACGGGTCAAGGATCAGAAGGTCTGGGGGTTCTTTGCATGTGACGCATTGGTGCTGCCAAGGTGCAGGCTTCAGGGCTCCGTGTCCTTCTAATCCACCACGTCTCAGGAAAGTCTGGGGGAAGCCTTGGACTCCCTCCTGGTCACCACTCGGCCCCCACCTCTGCTGTGCTGTTAGTTCTTTCTGAGAGATTTAGGAACCCACTGGACATAGCCATGAGGATAGCTAAAGGGACAGTCTCCAGAGACACGTCTTGTGTGTGACCAGCCTGTCATCAAGACGCCCCGGGAATCTCGGATGGGAGGGGCACAGGACAGCAGACTGCAATTCGCAGCAAACACTTCTTTGACTCGTGGTGAAAGGGCTCTTCTCCCATATGGGGCGATGCAGCGCGAGAATTTCAAAAAGAGAAAAATAACCCCAGATTATTTCCAGAAGCAAATAATTCTATTGGCATCACAAAGGAGATACAAAATAATATCAAATGATGGAGACCAGAGCTGTGACTCTGGCTGTGCCTGTACAGGGCCTCTCAGGTCTGCCTGGGCTCAGGGCTTTATTTTTTGTGGTATCGTGAATTTAACCCAGGGACACTCCACCACCTAGCTACACCCTACATCTTTATCTGTTTGTTTGTATTTTGAGACAGTGTCTGGATAAGTTGTGTTGCTGAGGCTGGCCTCAAACTTGCTATCCTCCTGCCTCAGCATGTCAGGCCTCTGGGACTGCAGGTGAGCACCGTGGCGCCCAGTTCAGAGCCTCTGTGTGGACCTCTTTCTGTGGGTTGCTTTGGCCAAGAAGCGACTACACCTTTACTAACCCAAATGACACTCAGGCCATTGTCTAAAAATTCTGCTCTACAAAATAATGATTATTCCATTTACACAGGGAATGAACCTTTTATTGCATCACTGAAATGGTTTTTCATTATTATTTCACATGAATTAGAGTATATCTTATGCCAGTAAAACTCTGGTTCCATGAACTTGAAGTAAGTTATTAGCTTCTCTGCACTAGAAAATACTCCTTTTAGCTGGGGCTGAGGGGTTATTTAAGTATAGTTGCCTATGTCAGGCTATTATGAAGGTTAAATGAATAAATGTGAGTGAATGATTTTGGACAGCTGAGAAGTATATTCTGACACCACAGACATGTTGATTTTCTACACTAATTCTGCGATTCTCTAGCACTCACTGAGGGTCCCACAATTCAATACCATTCTGACACCAACTCCCAGAGAAAGACTAAATCCCATGATTAAGGGCTCAGTTCTTCAAGAGCCTCTCATTTTAGCTGCCGGCTGCAAAAGGGGTTCCCAGGCTACCCGTACATCTGCCTGGATGACTACAAGTTCAGGAGTTAGCATGAAACCCTCCTTAGTTCAACAATTCACGAGAATGGCTCGCAGAACTCAGGAAAGTGTTTTTACTTATTTATAGGTTTATTATAAAGGACACCACTCAGGAGAGACGCTGTGTTAGTCAGCTTTCAATCACTGTGACAAAAATCCCCAAGATAATCAACGTATAAGGAGAAAAGGTTGATTTGGGCTCACCGTTTTGAAGCTTTCAGTCCATGTTTGGTTGGCCCATTGAACTTGGGTCTGCAGCAAGGCAGCCCATCATGGTAGGAGCACATAGCAGCAATCCTCATCTTATGGCCAAAAGTAAAAGAAAGAGAAAAAAGGAAAGGCCAGGACCCCAATATTCCCTCCAAGGCCATGCTTCCAGTGCCCTAATGTCCCCCCACTAGGACCCATCTTCTAAAGGTTCCCCACCTCCAACAGACCCTCAGACTGGGGACCAAGCCTATGAGGGACATTTACCCACACCACAGCAGGCACATTAGGGCCTGTATGCGGGGGGGCAGGGGTGCCGAGCTCCTAAGCCATCCTGTATCAATCCACTCTCCCAGTGATTGACCACGTTCAACCCAGAAGCTGAGTGAACCCTGTGCTTTTGGGGAGTTTACTGAGGTTTACTTACGTGGGCCTCATTGATTAAATCCCTGACCTTGCAGTTCCCATCCTTCTGATCACGTTGGCCAGCCCCAATCTTGAAGCTCTCTAGAGCTGCATCCTAAGGCACCTCATGACCATAAACTCAGGTAAGGTCTAAAGGGATTTGCTCTGGATAACAAAAGATATGCCCATGACTAAGGAAATCTAAGAATTTTGGAGGTCTGTGCCAGGAACCAGGATAAACACCAAGTACTGTGTGTGTGTGTGTGTGTGTGTGTGTGTGCGTGTGTGTGTGTGTGTGTGTAAGTTTTCCATCACTGTAATTCAAAGCCCGAAAAAATACATTTATTCCACGGGGTACAGTTCTTTTGACATCACCACCCTATTCAGATTATCATCATCATTAACAAGAGCATCATCACTGTGATCATGGCCACTCCCAACAGTGACCTTGATTCTGTGAGCAAACCTCTTTAACTAACCCAACCCTCGTTATTCACTTCCTTTGAAATATTTGAAATTCTTGCAATAAATTCCACATTTTTGGGGGTACTTCATTGGATACTGCTTTATATTCCATGAATTTTTTTTTAACTCTAAAGAAACAGTGTCTTTATTTTGTTTGTCCTTTTAATCCCATGTAAAGTTGCAATCTACCCCTGGATTATTTACCTCCTCATTAAGCCCATTCATTAATAAAGAAATTAAATAATGGCTTCTGCTCTTCATTCTCCTCTGGAATCAGCCTCTCTGAGGTCACAATCATTGTCAAAATAGTCAAGTGGAGTGGGCTCATTGGAACCTTTGACAAAGGTGATCATCTTCAAGAATCTTCTCTTCCTCTGAATAATAACTCAACTTTTCTTTGTCCTGATCTTTTTCTTCTCCTAGACTAATGCTGACCCTTTTATGCAGGGCCTGTCCCCTCTTTTCATCTCTATCCACATATAAAGCCTGGAATCCCGGTTGTCTTTGATCCTGACGTCCACAATGGTCTCCCCCTTGTTCCTAGCGTGAGTTAGGTCCCTATGTTCTCCCTTGTCTTGAGTCATGTGTCCTTCAAGGTCCAGA